TAAAAAATAAAATAAAATAAGGGACAAATAAATGAATGTATTTATTGCATTTTTTTAGCTGTGCTGGTTTTGTAAAAAAAATACTACAAATCAAAACTGGGAAAAAAGTGTTTTTTTTAAACGTTTTTTTCCTCTTTTTTTATATTTTATTTGTCCTAAGTGAGGCGTTAGACGCACATATGTGATATAAATATGTAGCCCTATCTGTCCTCTAAAAAACAATATATAATATGTGTGGGTGCACTTTGTAAGAAAGTATATTACTGACGTGGAAGAATCACACAGCAAAAATGTCAAAAGTGTGTCAGTCATTTACGAACAGAAACTAAAAACAAGCTCAGTCATGAAGGGGTTAATATTTAAAGTGAGGCAAAATCTTTAAATCTTAACTTGTGGATAAGGTTACAGGACTTAGATCAGCTCTGACACCATTCCATTTAACACCTTCATTCATCATCAATTAATGCCACCTTCATTCATCATCAATTAATGCCACCTTCATTCATCATCAATTAATGCCACCTTAATTCATCATCAATTAACATTCAGTGGTGCGCAATCCTTTAAGTTGGGAAACTAGCTGTTCATGTGCCACTCATGTGATACTTATCTACAGGCTGCGTATTTTAGCCTTATATAATAAACTTTTACAAATGTATTTCTATCTTAAGAATGCAGAAGACTAATAAAAGTACACATATTCTACAAACTTTATACAAAGAAATCTAATGTAGATACAAAGGCTTCAAGTCATGAAGACTTTGATAATTGGGTAGTTTTCCTTGCATAATGGTCATTTATACACCAAAGTGGCTAACTGGAGCTGGTGAAAAATGAATTGGTCCTGTCAAGAGACAGTTTTGACTTGTCTCATTATGTCAGAATGTTATGTTGCAAAGATCGGCCTGGAGTGAAACTTCAGTCATCAGACCCAGGTCTCTCATGCAAAAGCAGAAATCAGGACAGCTCCTAAACTAGAGAGTCTGAATCTGAGACCGGAGCGTAAAAGCCACGTTGGCCGACAGAGCCTGTGCCGACTGTTCCTTCAATAGGAGGTCATCTATGTATCCCACAATGATAAGTAAACAGATTGGCGTAAAACCCATGGAAACATTCTGCCACAGGAAGGAACAACACCTTGATCCACAAGACCTAACTGGTCATGATGGAGAGCTGCTATTCTGTACGGTGATAGAGGAAGGTTGGAGGTGAGAAACCAAGGAGGAAGCACAAAGCGAAACTCCAGTTTGTAGTCATGGGATACCACCTCCGGCACCCAAGCATCAGAGATACAACCTGTCAAAGCCTCTGCAAAGCTTAACAAACATGCCCCCACTCTGGAAAGGTGTGTGTGTGTAAGGGGGGAGAGGGAGGGGGAGAGGGAGGGGAAGGGGGGAGGATGGAGGTGCAGCTGTACCATACTAATGTCCTATTTATTTCTGGATGCTTGAAGATCATGGAGTCCAAAATGTTACCGATGGCTGCAAGTCATTATGTGATCTACTAACAGAATGCTGTACCTAGTATTCATATTGTTTATATAAAATAAAAACCATTTCACAGTCGTTCTGTCATGTTTGGCTAATGGAACTAAGTTGGGCAAAGGTGGTTTCCCAGAGAAAGAGTAGTAACCACTGATCCCAATTCAGGACTATCAATCTACAAAATGAGCCTTTTTGCAAACTTTCCTGCATCTATGATTTGAGTGAGAAGAGCAATCCCAGCGCCTCTTAAATGTGTTCCTATGTAGCTATTAGACAGCTTGGATGGCACAAAATAGTTGTCACTGTATCTCACAGTCCAGTTGGATGCACTTAAATGCATTCAAACTTAAAGCTGAACACGATTTTTGTCTAGGGGAAAATTAAGTTGGTTCAGGGAATGCTAAACCCTCTGTCAGCTTTTTATTGTTGTCTGTTTCCCTGTTACAGATTTTCCTTACTTCCTGTCTGGTAAAACCTTGTCCCAGAACAGAAAGTGAGGGCAAGTCTCTCTAATGGAGCTTGAGATAGCAGTAAAACCTCACAGGGGTTCTAATTCTACCTCATTCTATAAAAAATGGGGGAAAAAAAGGTTTGGGTGTAGCTACACATGAATTGTAGAACTTTCAATAATTCCCAGAGACATCCGTTCGTTTAACACAGATAAAGAAAGTAGATACATAGTTAGCACTGTTTCACAGCAGCTTTAACTTAATGCATCTGCTCGAAAATATTGAGGGCTTTATTTGGGTGCCATAGTAGCCTCCCACAATCCAAACATCTTTTGTTAGGTTAATCATTGCTGCCTCTGCTGATTTGTTTTGAGAGTGCTTGCTTCACGGCTTTCAACCGGCCTCAACACTTTTCTGGATCCAAGCTTCCTTCCGGTCAGCAACACTCTAAATTGAAAAGCAAGGTTAAGAATGACAGTCCTGGTGCCTGCAATGTCAAAAACAAGCCAGCAGAAGCTTTTCTATTCCTATCCTGACAGGTTCCTTTAAAACCACAATTATCAGACTCTCAAGGACATGGGTGGCAGGCAAGGAAACATTTAATAGAAAAACATGACAACTGGTTGGAAATGCATGTAATAAATGACTTACCTGTCCTCAGTCTGCTGTTTATCCTGGCTCCATGTTCCATACTGTCGGTCAGGATCTTGCACAAGTGAGTCTGTGTCCTTGTTGCTTGTAGAGGATCTTGAGAAACACTGCTTTACATGGTCCTGAAAATACAGAAAAAAACGAAACTTTTAACACATAACCCATACACAGTTGGCAGTGCTTAATGTTTGGGATCAAATATACTCCAATGTGATCCAGAAGCATCAAATATCCTTTACACCAGATCTACTATACTAAACCTATAAGCACTTCCGTCCTAAACTAACAATTTACCGTCCATAAAAGACCATTTTTAAAAAATTAAAGTAAGATGGGAGAAGATAAATGGCTGACATATACTTGCAGCACTACTTATAAGAGGGGACAATAGTGATTAGGAGTGGCTCTCTAACTTTCCACATCGGTTCCTAAGACTTGAGTGGTCACACTCTATGAAACCCTTTTTGCACCAAAACTACAATGACACGTACTATATGTGTTATATGCAGGGCAGCCTTCAGAAACCGCCACCACGCTGCGCCAGTCACGCTGTTATTATTATACATATATATACCGCAATGCTGTACAGAAAACACTGAGCCAGTCACATCAGTCTATGAAAAGAGGAGCTTACACTCTAATGTCCCCCCCCCCCGTCACATCAGTCTCTGTACAGAGGAGCTTACACTCTAATGCCCCCTCCCCACAGTCACATCAGTCTCTGTACAGAGGAGGTTACACTCTAATGTCGTCGTCCCCACAGTGACATCAGGACATGGAGGGTGTGGCTACGGTGCCATTCACTTCAATGGCCCGCCACTTCCCCTCCAGCCCAGCAAAAAAGTGAGCTGCAAGTGGTGTGAACAGGCCTTAAAACAGTACCAAGAGCATGCCTGCAGTTTGTTTATAAAAATATAAACAAAGTCTTCAACAATGTCAACCGTTACATATCTATCAAGCTAGCCATACACTGCTTGAATTTTGTGTCGGTGCCCCTCCGGTCCAGTCCAAAAGGAGCAGGTCTAAAAGTTCTCGGCCAAACAGTGACTGCAGCCAATAAAGGGGTAGTAGTTTACAGAAGGAAGATACACTGTTTTCTTATGCTTCTATTTAATCTCACATTAGGAGAACACATGATCCAGTATCACATGACCAGGAAATTTAGTGCTATGGGAACTCATTGTCAACAGATTACAAGTAATATTATGCTCATTTTAAAATCCCTACTCATCCTCCAAAATGCATCTCTGTTCCAAGGAAACCTATTCTGAGAGAAATATTTGGCTTGTTATTGCTCTTCACTTGACAAACGGATGGTTCTGGACCTGTATTGCTTGTTTACAGAGTAATGGAACAAGTTATGGAATACAGAAAGGCACCAGGGAAATGAAATCGTGCTGCCTTTATGACTGTATAGGTAGAATAGACAGGCAAAGGGATTCCCGCTGATGACACTAAGAGAAGACTTATGATTCAGGAAACATGAGCTGTGGAAGTATTATTTGTATCTGATCATACAAAGAATATCATCTTTCTACGGGGGGGTTTGTAGATAATATATATTTATGAATAAATACTTTTGAAAGTAACATGTTATTGATGGCCCACAGTCTGCTAACCAAAAAGGAATATTCTATTTTGAAAGTTTTCTAGAAGCGTATAATTCTAAAGAAACGCATATACTTACACCCGCGAATGTTAACATGTTCCATTTGGAAAGAGGCTTGAATATACACTGGACTATTGGTCTTTTCTTTGCTTTGTTCATTCTTGTTATTGTGATGCAAACTAGACACAAAATCAGTATTGATCCCCACACTGAACCAGACCAAAAACAGCTGAGCATGGTTGCAATAATGCAGCCTTGCTTGGGTCCCAGTACATCTGTATACACGGTTAGAATTTTGTATGAGCACTCTACGGAACTTTGCTGGTCATAGAAAACTAAGCCAACACTATTTAAAAGTAGGGATGTTCAGATACCAGTGCAGATACTTGGCATTTTCACGAGAACTATCAGGGATGCAGCGGGTGCAGCTGGGACCTAGCGCTGGCACCACTGTCCTGAAATCATTAGTCTGTATTGTTTTAGAAAAACTGTCACATCACACTAGACAAAAATGTATCAGTACTTGTATCTGTGAACATCCCTGTTTAAAAGATATTTTTCTTTCGAAGCAATCACCACCGATCGTTCGTGTTAAGCCCACTTCCGGATCTTTTTTTTTTTTTTTTGCAAAGGCGCATTACTAACTCACCGAATATTTACGATCGACAACGATCGAAATCCGTAATGCATGTTTAGAATTTCATTTGTTTAAGAAAAAATGTCCAACATGCTCCTACAAAAAAATCTCATTACTATGGTTGTTTACGCCTGTCGGTTACATCACATTAATTCATAGACATTCGAACATTACGAAATCAACTTCCTACAAAATTCTAACCATGTATACCCATTCTCTACGGAAAATTGTAACTTCTTTTAATTCTCAATGGCTACCCACAGAGATTAGATGATTGTTAGTGGGAACCCTATGTTTATAGGTAACTACAAATCAAAACAAGCACTGACAGTTTGCTTTTGAGAGGAGAAGGTCATATAGCTTGGTACAGGAAAAAAAGAAAATTGTCAGAGGCTGGGTTATGAGCACCTCTGCACAATTAATTTTTAAGGCCATATTAAGCATTCAAGTAGCACACATAATTCAAGCAGTCCAACACAACAGACTTCATTAATGAGTTTTCATAAGTCACCCTCCCACCACTGCAGGTGTAGAGGACATCTGGAGGTGACCCCCTCTCACATATAGAACCATTTTTGTTACAGGTTCTTCAATAGCCTGGAGGTACAAATGACAAGTGTTCTAATTTTGTGTTACAATTTCAGTGGATAAACCATTGACATTTAAATTACCATTTTTGCTTGAGTAGGAAATGTTGAGGAAGGGGAAGAAATAAAAATTTTCTCTACTGCATCCTGTGAAATATTAAAGGTAGCTGTAATGGCCCAAGTGGAAAATACTGACATATGGGAATGTATTATGAATCAATGAAACACTCAAGGGAAGGTTTCATGCAGCAGCCTAAATACTAAATGATGCCAATGATCTTTCCCGAAATAATCTTTCAGGACAGCACCCGAGAACACGTAGCTCCACCCACAAATTTACAGGAAACACTGCTGCACATATCATTAAAAAGGAGCACTTGTGTGTTGTCCCCGGAAGTGTGGCTCTTCTTACCTTCCCTCTTCTTTTCTTCCCTAACAGTCCCTGCCACTCCTGGTATCCTAAGCATGCAGTGGAACCCCTACTTGTATTTTTAGAACCCCCAACTTAGACAGGGTTTGCTCCAGAGCGCTCTTCCGTTTTCAGTGAGAGCCAGTACTGCCCCTCCTGTCCTGCCCTCTTATGGATCTGTGTGCAAAGGAGCGTCCTCTGTGCCTTTCCGTTTGTGTTTCCCAATGGAGCCTGAAGTCACTACCGTGAGTGTGGCACTTCCAGTCAGACGTGCGTTGGTAGTTTCAGCTGCTGGAATGCAGTGGAGGGGGCGTGGGGGAAGATTGGACTGCAACCTTATAGATTTTTTGTATTAGGCTAACCAGTGTACCTGCCCCCCAAACCTCTGGACTGTGGTCCCTGCCATTGCCCAAGCCTTCTGCCACTATGCCTGGGGTCATGGAGGTATGAGGGGTGAATGCTGAGGAGGACAGTTTACCTTTCAGCTCTCAACTCAAGTCAGAGGAGGAAAAATGAGAGGCCGAGGAAGGGAGGTTCTGCAAATACAAATTGCAGGCTGTGTTGAGGTTGCCAGAAACTTGGAACATTGGTTAGGCCGATGAAGGCTTACAATGAAGCAGGAACGCCAAAGGAAGAAATGTTAAAATCCTTTGCATCAGCAGAGTTCATAAGCATGTCTGCTTGATCCTCTACATTCTCCGGTCAAATTTCTCACCTTCAATTGAGAGCCTGACCACTCGGTCTCTCTTCTGCACTGAGGTTGTTCTGCAGCACCTGGTGGCTGCATAGTAAAGTTTTTCAGTACTGGGACCATTATACAGGCTGGTGTGGAAAACGGACAACCGTCATCATTACAGATAAATGGAGAGGACCAGGGTGGGGAGGCGAGTGTTGCGAGTTCAAATTTTTTCTGAATAGATGAACTAACCCTTTAACTATGTGTAGTGATGCCATTTTAATATGTTTATTTCTTCTTAATTAGACACACAGTGGTTTTATTTTTTTCTGTACTACATTATAAATGACTATGATTGACCTGTACAGCACAGCGAATGAACATCACATAATTTGAGAGGGCCTCATTATTCACCCTCAGTTCCAGAACTGTTATACTGAGAGCACTGTATAACTGACTGGCTCGAAGTGCATAAGCTATAACCTTCAAGCCTAATTTCTGCTGTGAAAGAGGATTACAGTGGAATAATGGATACGATTTTAGGAGTTTATTCTAAACCATATCTAAAAATACATTTAAGGATTCTTAATTAAAACATAATTGGACTAAAGAGGTTTTATATTTATAAAGTGCTACTTTAAAAACACAGAGGAACAATGAAGGCAAATCTTAGACTAAAGGCAAAATACCTTTCTTAGGTAGCTAGCAATTCATGGATTCCCAAGATCTATATTAGTTTTGGTCAACTAAAGCTGAAACCGTGAACTCACACCCACATAACTAGTATGCAGCCCTGGGGTAATAGAAAAGCAAATTGCATCAGAGGCTTCAGAGTATTTTGCCTAAAGACCTATTCCCAAAGATGATGGTCACATAAATCTGACTATTACGAAATCACTTTTCCCTGTAGATGGGAACTGTTATGTTTTTTGATTAAAATTGGTTTGATTGCAGCACAACTTAAAGTGACCCATCACCCATTTTCACCTTACTCTGCAAGCTAAATGAAGAAAATCAAACATATTTCTCCATCCATGCTAAACAGCATGGATGCATGAATCTCCAACTGCAGCTATTGTATTCTGACAGTGGGCGTTTGCTTCTGCCAAAATACATGAACAGTGATTCCCAGCTGACTGGCTGCTGTCATTGTTTACCTGAAAATGTTCAGCCTGGCTCCTTCGACTAAAGTCAATTGCTCATT